AAAGATCAAATTCTCTAGTTGTTTAAAATGGAGATGGAAACTACAATTAATTTGAACTAAAACCAATGACAAAAAACATTATAAAATTTAAGAATAGAAAAAGTATAAAGATATAAAAAATAAGTAACTCAAATTTAAAAATAATCGGTCCCAAAATGCATAATTTCTTTAAAATTTCAATGGAATATTAATTAATTAATTTTCATTTTTACTATTTAATCAATAATTTAAATTATAATTTTAATCATCTTATTTTAAATTATTCATAAAACTAATCTTCTATTTATTTTTAAACAATTTTGATAATATTCTCATTTTTGTTAAAAATGTGTCGATATGTCATTTCTTATTAACCAACACAAATAAGATGACGTGTACAATATCATTTGACTATTTTTTTACCCCAGTCATTTAAATTATTCATTAAATCCAAATATATTCCTTAAACAATTAAAAAATAATCATAAAACAATTTTAATAATTATTCATAAATTATTTTTTTTCCTCTTCTTTCACCAATAACCTTACAATTTTTTTATATTTTAATCTCAAATTTTATTGTAATATGGTGTTTCTTCATATATTTAATCTTTTATGGAAACAAGGAACTTTCATAAAATCAGATTCATCTAAATTAATCTTCTTTAATTTTCTTCTTAAAATTTAAATTAAAAAAAATTCAAAAATCAGAATAATTAAAATTTTATTCTTCTTTGTAATGAAATCTAATAAGCAAAATTAAAGGCAACTTAAAAAATACAAAATCACAAAAACGTTAAAAGAATAAAAATTTTGTACCACAAAATCAAGTAGATTTTTTTTGTGAATAAAATAAATGTTATTATAGAAAAAAATAACAAAAATATTTACATTTAGGGGGCTATACTTGACCCAAAAATAAAATTCAGAAGAAAAAAAAGAAAGAAATATGACGTGAAACCTGATCTACTTACTTTAATAATGGTAAAATCACCATTCCTCGATAACTATGTTTAAGCAAAGTTGAAGTTCGGCAAATCCAACCTATCTTTGAAAAATACCTCTGTAGTGAATTGAGGGAGCATCTTCTATCATGAAATTTTGCAATCTCATGATTGTTATTCGCAAGACTGTCTGCACACCTGTTGTCTTCTCTGTTAATATGGGTCTATTAACCTAAAAGTATCGACAATTAAGCCATCTGCCACGAAGATCCCAAGGTATGAGCTCCTCCTTCATTATGCATTGCATTGCAATTTAGGAGTCTGTTTCTATCCAAATATTCAACTAGCCTCACATATTAGCGTCCTTTATGACTATCATAATCAAAAGAAATTTCGCTTTAAGAATATTTTGCACCCCAAGATTGACCGCAAAGACACCAATGGAAATCCCCTTGGTGAATCTGAAATTAAACAGAATACAAAGAAGCATTTTTCATAAAATCAAGCAAAAAATCAAAACTAGTGTTGCACAACAAAAAATATCAGCGACAGTTAATGCATATTGTGTTCTTTCTAATGTTATAAATAATTGAAACTTTGATAAGAAAATAAATAATGGAAACTCTGTTAGCATGATCAATGATGATTGTATAAACCAAAACGGGTTTAAGTCATTTGTGACCCGTTCCTATAACACATATTTGAATACAAAGGATTTTAATAGACAACAAGTTTACTCATTGATGGAATAACCAAAACAAATTAAAGACAACAAACCTAAAGCATATAAGTAGTCGTCAACTATTCCCAAAGCATGCATTATAGTTCCTATAACACATATTTGAATACAAAGGATTTTAATAGACAACAAGTTTACTCATTGATGGAATAACCAAAACAAATTAAAGACAACAAACCTAAAGCATATAAGTAGTCGTCAACTATTCCCAAAGCATACATTATAGTCCATACTAATACAATTTTAACAGATAAAAATAACATTCATTCATATGATATCTGAACACTAAAAAAGAACTGAAACCCACTGACTAATGTAATACCCAAAAATATTTTGAGTTGTTTTAAGCCAACTCCGAGACATAATTTTAGACTGTATAGTGATAACCTTTAATGAACAAGCAACTTGTGATTATGGACTCCAACGCGTTTTGAAAATTTTGAATTTTTTAGGGTTGGGGGAAGAAGATAGAGAATAACATTCAAAACCTATAAATTATTTTTAGTGATGAATTTTCCTCTCTAAATGATTCATAAATATGGTCTAAGCCACACTACGTTAGTGTCAGATAATCATATTGGTTGAATTTGACTAAAGTAGTGTTATATTTGCAAATATCTCTGCCTAGGGCGGCAACTTGGGCCACCCTAGGAAATGGGCGACAACACATGATCGCCCGGAGGGAGGTACCACCTCACCCCTATGTTTTTCTCGACCATGAGAAAAAGAAACGTGGGATAAGACGTGTCTTGGATAACAGGAAAGTCAAGATAATTATTGACCCACATATTCCTTGTAAATAGAAACTCAATAATCCATCCTTTGATTGGGCAGACAACAACCTTTTCCAAAAATCCTTGAGGATCAGAAATCCATATAAATACCCATTCCATTACAATGAGAGATCAAGTCATATTCACTAAATACCACCCAATACTGCTCAGAGAACATTTTGCTCCCAATAGTCCTAACACCAGTCATTTAACCATCCGTCTGCAACATAGCAGCGCTGGCCGTCAACAAGGTCTCTCACCTCACGTGATATGGTCTCTTATATAGTCTCAAAAACCACCATACAGGGTTACTCGCCACCGTGAGATAGACCTCATCCCATTTGTGTAATATACTTATTAGGGCCTCTAAGTCTCATTGCCATTGTAGAGGGAACACACACACAAGTCTTTTTGGACAATACAACTAACATAATAGATGAAGATGACTAACATAGTTTAATTTGTGTAATTAATGAATTCAAATGATTTTTTATCTTAAGAAAACAAAGTGAACCACAAGTATAAGATACCAAATAAAAAATGATATCAAGCCTTGAAAATGACATATTAACACTTTTTTTGATAAAAAATGAGAAAGCGAGACCAAAACTATTGAAAAATAAATTAGGAGACTAATTTCGTAAATTAACTAAAATAGGGGGTCAACAACTGAAATTTAACCTAATTGATACTATTTGCATTTCATGTCCTTCTTAATTTAGATAACTTGTTGTGTTATGGCGGGTGTCGGAAAGAGGAAAATTTTCATCACGTTTTTGAATTGTCAGTTTTTCGAGAACGTACGAGTGAGATTCTTCAATGGATATAAATATCTTTTGTCTTACCTAATTGTCTTAATTCATAATAGTTATTTTTGTAATATTCTAGGAAAAAAAAAGAAATGATAGTTGATATGCATGTTTTATAATTGACGTGTAATTGTGATATTTGAAAAGAAAAAAAAAATCAGATATCCTGTAAAAAGGAATCATCGATACACAAGTTATTGATAAAATTAAGCTTCAATGTTAGTGATTGTTTCAAGCAAAAAAACTCCAAGTTAATGTTCAAACTCGACCATTGATGTCTAAATCTTTTGAGTTGTCTTGACTCGTGTAATTGTTATAAGCATTACTTCATCCATAGTTGCGGTTTCAAACGAAAAGCTCTAAATCAACGTTCAAACTTGATCTTTGGTGTCACACTCTTTTGAATTGTCTTGACTTGTGTAATTGTCATGAACATTCTTGATATTTTCATCTTATTTATATATTATATTTTAATTTTTTTAAATACTACTTTCATCATTTTTAATTCAATATTTTTTTCTAATTTATATTTAAAAGCATTTGTAATAAAAAATAATATATTAGTGCAAATATTATTTCCCTTTACACAATTTTTTAAATATAGATATTATATTCAAATAAATAATTTATTAAGGAAATAAAATTCAATATTTTCTCTATTTCATATTATATATTATCTTAAAAAATTATAACTTATTTATTATTTTCCTTTCTTTCATTTTTTAAATTATTATTTTCCATATAAAATTATAAATTATAAATTATATATATTTTCTCTATTTCAATATTTCTTTTACATTTTAAATTTATAAACTTCGTACATTAAAACCAATCTATTATTGGTATTTTACCTTAAAAAAACTGTAAATAGTACTCAATCGTCTAGTTTAATTAATATTATCATTTATTATCACTTACCGTTTTTTTGAAAAACAATATTTTTTATTACCGAGGAAAAAACAACATTTTTATATTGTTTTGGTTCTTTTATTACATACAAGAATTTAATAATAAATAAATAAATTTTGGTTTTTCCTCTTCCACCTAGTTCCATTGTCTTTCTTCTTTATGTGTCTGAGAGATAGAGAGAGAGAAAAATAGAGAGAGAATGTTCCAATTTTTCATGGACGCTGCTTCGATCTGCGTCTTCCTCAGTTTCAAGACATAATCTTCTTCACATAAAATAAACCAAATTATTCATATATGTAAGCATGCAATTTTTTTTTCTTCATCTTGCTTCAATAAACCAAAAAAAAAAAAGTTTTTTTTGTTTTGTTTAATTCTTCTCTCAAACACCCCTTGTACAATTTTCCTTTTTTCTTAAACATTTTTTACTTCTAACGCAACCCTTTTGATTTTTTCTTCAAAAAATCTTATTGGGTTTTGAAGTTTTGATCCCTTTTTCGTGTTTCAGAACATGGGTTAAATTTTCAATTTTCAATTTTTTTTAAAAGTTTATATTTTTATTGTTTCTTATATACTAGTGATTTTCTATTTAAAAAAAATAAATGATGAACCCTTGTTTATTGTAAGACTTGGTTCAATGGTTATGGATTGGGATCTCTGTTGGATCTCTTGGTTTCTGTTTTATTCTTATTTTTATAATTTTGAATAAAAAATTCATGTTCATATTGGCTAACATTGATTTCTGTGTGTATATATAGTTTGGGTTGTAAACAAGGATTTTGCTACATTCTCTCACTGCCTTAAAATGTTGCTTGTTTGAGGGTGATTTCATGGGTTGAACAGAAGAATCATGAGTAGTTTAAGTGAAGAAGTTCCGTTTTTTGATGCACAAGATGATATTGTGTTAATCTCGGATGCGAAAGGGGTTAATGAAAACCCTGAAGTTGATCCTGGTTCTTCTGTGGTGGAGGGTTTGTTGAGAGATTTTGGATATGAATTGTGGGCTAGGAGTCCGGGTAGTGTTCGGGAGCGAAGGAGCAAGTTTAAAACATGGATGGAATCGAGTTTGGTAGATGGGAGTGGTCGTGAAAGGGAAGATGAGATGAATAGAATGAAAGATGGAGTTGATAGGATGATTAAAAGTTATGGTTGTGTGGAGGATTTCTTTTCGACTCGGTCAACCATCTCTTGTTTGTCTTCAATGAGTTCTTCATCAGAGCTCGGTTTGGTGGAGAATTCACCATGCCGAGATGAGAGTTTGGATAATGAGGTAGGGTCTAATGAGGATCAGGTGGGGCAGTGTAGGGAGAGTAATGACCAGTTGGTGGTTTCTGATGAATTGGAAAACACAAACACCCTAGGGTTCTCTCCTACACACCAAAATGAGATTGTTAAGGAAATCGAAGAGACAAGTGTTTTTGAGTCGTGGAAGAAGAGGGCTAAAAAGGGTTTGTTAAAAAAATTACGCTCAATGACATGCATGAAGGATGGACAACAAGGAGAATCTGATAACAGGAAGAACGAAAGCGGTGTTTCATTCTCGGGTTGTAAGATTCAACGTGTTAAGGTCCGTCATTGCAGGAAGCAAAGAAAGGAGCTTTCGGCTCTTTATACGGGACAAGATATTCAAGCGCATGAAGGTCCGATTTTTACCATGAAATTCAGTCCTGATGGGCAGTATCTTGCTAGTGCCGGCGAAGATGGAGTTGTACGATTATGGCAAGTTGTTGAGGATGAGAGACATACTGAAATCGACATTCCAGAAGTTGATACATCCTGCATTTACTTTACAGTGAATGATCTCTCTGAATTGACACCCTTGTTTATGGATAAGGATAAAATTAGAAATGCCAAGAGCCTGAAAAAAACATCAGATTCGGCTTGCATCATTTTCCCTCCTAAGGTCTTCCGGTTGTTGGAGAAACCACTGCATGAGTTCCACGGTCATGGAGGTGAAGTTTTGGATCTCTCTTGGTCAAAACATAACGTGAGTGAATGTCATAATTTCAGTTATTTAGTGAGCTAATAATACATTACAGTATTTTTGAAACTATTTTAAAATCGATTCGGTTCTCTCTTTTTTTATGCAGTATCTGCTGTCATCTTCAGTCGATAAAACTGTCCGTCTATGGCAAGTTGGACATGACTGCTGTTTGAAGGTTTTCTCACACAGTAATTACGGTATGCTTTGACACCTTTTCTGTTCCTATTATGTATCATGTTTTCAGCTTCAACTTCTTGTTTTGGTCTCACTTGGATTTTCCTCACAAATTGTATCTTATGATAATGTTTTACAGTGACATGCATACAATTCAATCCCGTGGATGATAATTATTTCATTAGCGGATCTATAGATGGAAAAGTGCGCATATGGGGAATTCCTGATTGTCATGTTGTTGATTGGACCGATGTCAAGGAAATTGTCACCGCAGTGTGCTATCAACCTGATGGACAGGTATAATTTTATTTAACAATTTCTTTCTGTTGAAAATGAAGATTCCGTGGGAAATAATTTCTGATTAATGCTCTATCTTATGCAGGGAGGGATTATCGGCTCCATGACAGGCAATTGCCGGTTTTACAATGTATTATCAGGTATCTTGCTCAAACGCAAGTGCTTCAACTTTGTTTAGTGAAAGATGCATAATAGCTTATCATAGTAACTCGATGTGCTCGCTTTTGTTTTTGGTTGAATCAGATAATCACTTTCAGATGCAATCACAAATATGCTTACTTGGTAAAAAGAAATCTCCCGGGAGAGGAATAACTGGCTTTCAGGTAGTTTTTTCTTCGGCCTTTTGTGCCAATTTAACTCTGTTTTATTTTCCATATAAGCTTCTTTTTTCCTAGTTAGTTAAGGGATTATTATATAATTTTCAGTTTCTTCCACAAGATAGTAACAAAGTTATGGTTACCTGTGCCGATTCACAAGTCAGAATCATTGAAGGGCTTAATGTTGTTGGCAAATTCAAAGGTATTTTGTTTCTTTCCTACATTTTTTCAAGAATTTTGTATCAGCTTGAAGTTGCATTTTTTAAAAATCGGCATGTCATTTTTTATTATATGTTAAATGTTTTGATTCTAACGATTTCTTTGTTTTTGTTTTCAGGCCTTAGTGCAGGGAGCCTAATGTCCGCATCTCTTACTTCAGATGGAAAACACATTTTATCAGCGTCTGAAGACTCCAATATATATATGTGGAATGTTAGTGAAGACGAGTCTTGTACCATGAAAGCTAAGAAGATTAAGTCCTGCGAGCGGTTTTATTCAAACGCATCTGTTGTAGTACCTTGGTGTGGTTTGAAATCCAACAACATTGAAAATTCTAAACCATTAGATGTCCTAAATAAAAGGTCACCCCAAGCTCTATGCCTCGATCCACCGTCTTCGTTTTCTCTAAGCCAAGATTTTTTCTTGGATTCTATCCCGAAAGGTTCCGCAACCTGGCCCGAAGAGAAACTTCCTACTTCAAGAAGCCCCAAGTCTAAAAAATCCGCACTGCACAAATCTGCATACAAGTTCTTGAAATCCTCTTGCAAGAGTACTTCCAATTGTCATGCGTGGGGACTAGTCATCGTGACTGCTGGTTTGGACGGGCGAATAAAATCGTTCCACAACTACGGACTACCCGTACTCGTTTGAAACAAAGCGATCTTTTCTATATCAGGTAATCGACTCATGCATGATTCCATGATTTGCTTTGTCACGTAGGCCTGGCCGCTAATATACCGAGACTTGAAAGGGACATTCGAGTTTGGCAGCATAAAAAAAACCAAGCAAGTTGAGGTCAAAGGTCATACATACCCCAAAAAGGATCGCAGTTTAGTGTCGGTTTGGATTCAGCGATACTAAGCCAGTGATTTTGAGAAAAGCTACACCGGAGTTTCAACACTGTAATCGTGATTTTGTCGATCCAAACACAAATAATATCAGAAAATTGAACTTTTGAAGCTCCTCCACATATATTTCAGGGGATTAGATGACAAGTGGCGGCACGACGATATCGCCTTTACCTCACACTAAGAGTATGCTGTGCCTTAGAAGAGTTACAAAGTCATGCAAAAGGCCCCATCAGATATTGTATAGCAAGACTCATGTTTGGTTAAAACAAGAGAGATTGATAAAGAGGAAAAGATATTGATTCAAGAAGAAGTGGCTGAGATAAAATGGTGGTGGGCTAACCAATTTAGAATCTGATTGTCTGCTAATCTTTGAATCCATCTCATGGTAGGTCCCTCAAATGCCTGAGGTTGGAAGTGATGATTGATTGGGATGGTCAATTCTGTGCATTTTTGGCTTTCTGTTGCTCCAAAAAAAATACAAACAAGTGTTGCTGATTGTAACAGCCAAATGGATACTGCTACAGGACTGACATTAATATTATTGCTAACAAATGTTCTCTGTATATGGTCTTTGTTTGAGACAGACATCCTTTTGTTTGTTTGATTTGCTTAGATTTGTTATCCTGTACCTTTGATTTTGCTCTTTTTGAAATAACAAAATTTATTTATTTTAGTTGAGGATCCTCATTCCACCCTTGCCAATTCTCTCAAATTCTATAGAAATTTAAAAATATCATTTTATACCGTTTTGGAGATTGAAATTTAGACACACCAAATATTAAGACAATACCATAATATAACAAATCTAATGTAAGTAAATATTTGTACAGACTACAATCTCCAAGCACTCCATTCGACAATTGAAATCAGGACTAATTTGAATAGAAAGCGGATTCTGCATTACCTTGTGTGTAAACTATGCATATGCTAAACTTTCTATGATCGATGTTGGAAATTCACCTCACACTTTATGAAAAATTCCCTTCAATCTTGATCTCAAGATTGATGAACAAACCCACAATATGATAATGATGGTAATAACAAGTAATTATCAAGAACAACAAAAGAGAAGAAGAATAACAAACAAGAAAGAGAAGAATGAGAGAAGAAGTATTTGGAGAGAATGTGTTACCCACAACTGTGGGATTTCTTATTGAACTTTCACTTGCTAAATGCAACTGTGAAATCTGTTCTGTTGTGATGTAGAATACAAAGCAAGGCTATTTATAGTTTTAGGTTTACACTAGCCCAAAACATAAAAGACCCAAAATATTCTAAATCAAATCTAATCATATGATATCAAATCTAATCATATGATATCTAATCATATCATATCAAATTAATCATATGATATCAAATCTAATCATATCAAATCACAATGAATTATATTTAACACACCACCTAATTCATTGTGTCTAAACTGTCTACATTCATCATGGCCCTTAGTCTTCTGAAGGCTTCGACCTGCACTCCCTTCGTCATGATATCTGCAATCTGATTCTCAGTTCTGCAGTGTTCCAACTTCATCTTCCCTTCTGCTACCCGCTCTCGGAGATAATGGAACCTCATTTCGATATGCTTGCTTCGACCATGAGCTATTGGATTCTTTGCCAAGTTGATAGCTGACATGCTGTCTATCTTCATGGTAATTGCTCCATGGTTCTTCCCTGTGATTTCTTCGACCAAGTTCACCATCCAAGTTGCTTGACATGCACAAAGGGAAACAACTATATATTCTGCTTCGCATGATGATAATGCCACCACTGGTTCCTTTCTCGAATTCCAAGCAACTGGTGCACCACCTAACATAAACACATATCCAGCTGTGGATTTTTGATCCTCAGCATCACTACACCAACTGGAGTCTGTGTATCCCACTAACTTGCATTCTTTTCCTTCATCAGCTGCTGGAAACAAAATGCCATAGTCGAGAGTTCCTTTCAGATACCTCAGTATCCTCTTCGCCGCTGCTAGGTGTGATACCTTTGGCTTCTGCATGAATCTACTTACCATACCAACACTGTATGCTAAGTCAGGCCTTGTGTGACAAAGGTATCTAAGTGACCCAATAAGTCTTCTGTATTGGGTTGGGTCGACATCATCTTCATCTGAATCCTTCGACAGTTGCAATCTGGGCTCAGCTGGAGTCGAAGTTTGGTTGCAATCTTGCATCTCAAATCTCTTTGAGTATTTCACCTGCATATCTTCTTTGGTGCATCACCAAACCTCTACTTGTCTTGTAGAATTCGATGCCAAGGAAATATGAGAGATTTCCCAAGTCTGACATTTCAAACTCCTCACTTAGGTCATGTTTGAAATCTTCGATCTCCTTCTTGCAACTCCCTGTTATCAACAAATCATCAACATAGAGACATAGTATAAGCAATTCGCCATTGCTTCTTCTTACATATACTCCATGCTCAGTTGTAGACTTCACAAATTCCTTCTCCCTTAAGAAGCTGTCGATTTTCTTATTCCAAGCTCTTGGAGCTTGCTTAAGTCCATACAGGGATTTATGAAGCCTGTACACATTTCTTTCTTCGCCTTGTTTCACAAACCCAGCTGGTTGTGCAACATAAACTTCTTCGTCTAAGGGGCCATTAAGGAATGCACACTTCACGTCCATCTGACATGTGTGCCAGTTGTTCATATTTGCTAGACCAACAACCAACCTGATTGTTTCGATTCTAGTAACAGGTGCGAATACTTCATCGAAATCGATTCCTTCCTTCTGAAGAAATCCTTTCGCCACAAGTCTCGCTTTGTGTCGAGTTACTTCTCCTTTAGGATTTACCTTCACCTTGTAAACCCACCTCACATCAATTGCCTTCTTGCCTTGCGGAAATTCGACAAGTGACCAGGTATCATTGACTTTGATGGACTCTAACTCTTCAATCATTGCTTTCGCCCACTTCGAATCTTTCAATGCCTCAGCTGCATTGACTGGTTCGACATCTGCGTAGAAAGCATAACATACCAGCTCACCCTCTTCATCGACTACATCATCTGATGTGATTACACATTCTTGCAACCTTGCAGGCATGTGTCTTGTTCATCGAGGTCTGCTTGAACCTGCTTCATTTGCAACTGGTTCCTGTCGAACTTCTATTTCGACTTCAGTGGCTGCAGTTGCTAAACACTTGTGTTCCATCACATTGAGTCCAATCTTGAAGGTCCTATTCTGAGACATTGGAGCCTTCAAGATTAGTCTACCACCTGCGTCGAGGACTCTCATCATCTTGTCTTCGACAACTACCTTGTAGTTCTTTTCGACAAGCTGCCCTATACTGAGCAAATTACTCTTCATGCCTGGTATGTACAACACATTGGAAATTGTTGACCTTTTGCCATCTTTCCTCATAATCAAAACATCACCAACACCTTCAGCTGCTATAGTGTTGTCATTTGCAAACTTCACCGTATTCTTCGACGAGGGCTTCATGTTGACAAACCAATCTTTCCTTCCAGTCATGTGTGATGAGCATCTTGAGTCCAAGTACCACTGATCTTGGAATCTTTCTTCATCGTTTGTTGTGACCATTAGCAACGTTTCTTCTTCTTCATGTATCGCCAGCTTTGCATCAGTCTCTTGATTTCTCTTCTTTTATGGACAATCACTAACATAATAACCATACTTCTGGCAATTGAAACATTGAATGTGGCTTTTTTCTGTCTTTCGACCACCACCTCTTCCTTTACCTGCAGCACCACCTCTTTGGTTGCCTTGGTTCCAAGGTTTCTTTTGATTCGACTGGTTTCCTCCTTTGTTGCTATTCCAGCTACCTTTGCCTTTTCTCTCCTTTTCCGTCTGTGCCTGCAAAGCCATATCTTTCGACTTTCCTGCAGCTCTCTCAGCCATCCTCTGTTCATGAGACTCAAGAGTCCCTTGAAGCTCTTCCTTCGTCAACACTGACAGATCTTTCGACTCTTCTGGCAACTACCACGTGGTCGAATTTTGGAGCCAACGATCTCAAAATCTTTGAGACAACTGCTTTCGTCGTCAGCGTTTCTCCACATACTTTGATTTGATTCACCAACCTTGTAACTCTGGTGAAGAAATCTGTAATGCTTTCGTTGTCTTCCATCTGAAGCAACTCATAGGTTCTCTTGTGAGTTTGTAACCTCACCTCTTTCACCTTCTATGCGCCTCCAAACGACTTTTCAAGAATCTCCCATGCTTCTTTTACTGAATCAACATCACTAACCTTTTCAAAGTTATCAGGATCGACACACTGATGAATTATAAAGAGTGCTTTATAATCCTTCTTCTTCAATTCTTTGTGTGCAGCCTTTTCCGCCTCCGTTGCGTTTTCCCCAAGTGATGTTACTCCATCTTTCACAAGATCCCAAAGATCTTGATAACAGAAGATCACCTTAATCTGCTTGCACCAATTCTCATAATTGTCTTTCTTGAGAATTGGCAGGGTCGCCGGAAAGTTACTGTTCGGATAGTTCATCGCCATCACTATCTTCCTTCCTTGAATCTCTCAACCGGAGCTCTAGATACCAGATGTTGGAAATTCACCTCACACCCTATGAAGATTTCTCTTCAATCTTGATCTCAAGATTGATGAACAAACCCACAATATGATAATGATGGTAATAACAAGTAATTATCAAGAACAACAAAAGAGAAGAAGAATAACAAACAAGAAAGAGAAGAATGAGAGAAGAAGTATTTGGAGAGAATGTGTTACCCACAACTGTGGGATTTCTTATTAAACTTTCACTTGCTAACTGCAACTGTGAAATCTGTTCTGTTGTGATGTAGAATACAAAGCAAGGCACCCTATTTATAGT